ACGTTGTCTATTTCGGGTGTCTGTGTCTGTTCAGAAGCCATGCTGACGTGGAAAATAAATACAATAAAGCACGGGAGTACTGCAGAGAAAAGAAAAACTAAGGAATGATTCGGGCTCACCAATTATGTAGCGGACTAGGACCTAATCAGCGTGTTCGGATAAATTAACAAGCAAAAGTAACCAATGCAAAATCACAAAAATCACAATAGGAAAGGAATGAGTAGTCAAATGCGAACTCACGAATGTGTAGATCCAATAGTCCACTACACCGATCCAAATGCAGTAACTGGCTGTGGAAAGAAATATTCACTTGCCGAAATTTCCTACACATGTTTCCGCGTGAGTGATATATTCCACGTTAGGAAAATTATTCACGGCTAAAAAATGTCACAGGGATTTATTGTGACGTTTAACAGTTGACACAAACACAGAGATTTAGCCCACTGGTTTAAATGTGACAACGGATTACTGACACTACACATTCGACCTTCAAAGGCAAACGAGTGTGAATACTGCACTAATCGAAGGACGCTGTTCTAACATGTGCAGATCCTAGAGCTATTCTAATGGTACTACTTGCGAAGCAGTTTCACGAGATGACGATTAGCGACTTTGCAGGTTTCATGCAATTCGGGGTCGAATCGGCAAATCGCAAAGTAGCTGCAATCGCCTATGAGCACCATGGTGATTAAACCCACGTGGGTATGCTACAATACTTTTCAGACGGACGAACATGAATTCAAAAAATTTACGCATCCACCACCTGGTACGTAACGGTTATAAATATTGAATAAACAAATCACCACAAGTAGCGAACTGTGAAGTCGGGCGATTTATAATTAATTTTGGTCAATGGTGCAACCAGGAGCATAAGTAGCCGGCCAAATACGTAGAACCAATTACGAGTGTAGTTATCTTCCGGGTACTAGCTGATGACACCTGATGTAGTCTTCGTGAAGCATGAACTCTCCGGCAAGACTAGGTTGGCTGTGCCGAAAACGCGTGCTCCAGAAGTGCTCGAATGGCTAGATTGGAAGCTAGAACGCACACAAATAAAATCAAGAGCACACTGTGCGCAGTCTCTGTTTATTGCCGAATTAACAACAAGACTCTGCCCATTTTTGCGGTTAATGTCAAACAGGCTGTAAACATGTCAATCGCTCAGCGAGTTCAAACGGCGAAGAGCACCATGCAACGAAAGCCAGCTATCCAGAAACTATAGTGGGGGCTGACGTCTGAGGACCAATGTATGCAACGATTATGTGGGACAGTCACTATCGCTTAACAGTGAGTAAACTGATTTAACAATACTAGACGATGCAATTTCGTCGGGTCAACTCGACCACAGAGACTGTTGCTGTAGTGCATCCAGCCACACCCTGGTTGGTTATTTAAGTCTAGCGGCAGTTAAGCGCGAACTATGGAAGGTTTAATGGATGGGACAAACTTCTACTACATTCCGCATCAGTCTTGGTTTGGGGAGGGGTTAGAAAGAAGCAAACTTTTCATGGGTTTCTTGTGAGTAAAACCGGGAAAAGCGCGCCGCCGATATGGCCTTTCGAGTTTTACTGGCGCGGACACTCAACCGATTGATGCGCACCTTCTCCGTCATCGTCCGTACTAAAGCAAACCATTTCCCAGTCATTTTCAGATCCTCTCGCTCATCGTTCGCTGTGTTCAATGATGTTGGAATACGAAGACTAGAATAACATGCTTCTGCACACAACCTTTTGATCCTTCACGGCTATATTTTATTCATACTTCCGTTATTTCCGCGCACCGCATTATACAATGTGACCTACTTATAATTTATTGCCTTCAAATAATTTAACCCGATCGCCCTTACTGGAATTCTCTTAATTCAGCCGTAAATCTTCGTTGACACCACAATTGTGAGATATCGAAAAAGTTACTACGTTCTCGTTTACCATTGTTTCTGTGGTAGACCATATTCGCTACCTTGCTCCGAATGAATGGCGCTCATGGGACCGTTTGTGCGCGGAGTCATTGTAAAGTGTATTACTGATTTGAACAGCATGTGTTGCAGACTTAATTGGTTTGTTCCAAGGGCAAACTCTGGACAATCCACCACGTATCTTGGTACTAGGCACTCTCATCTAGCACCCATTCGGGGCACGGTATCAGTACACGGTCGGGTAGGTGGATGTTGTTTTGTGCTAGTAGCTATGTTGTTGGCGAATAATACACTGAACTCTAGGTTAGTTGACTCCAAATAATTTTATCCGGAGCCTGACAAGTCGGTGTGTGATCCCCGCTGCAATGTAATCTACCCTGGTGTTTGGTTCGTCCATTATGGAACACTATTATTTTCTTACCTCCCTGTTTTTAGAAGTCTGTACGAGAGTCGCGCTGCTTCGCGACCTGCACTCACGTTATTTGATAGACAGTTTTTACTCCCCACACTTAACCATTTGACACCTTCGTATCATTCTACCCAGCTGCACACACCAAACTTACACCCTCTTTCAAAGGCAGGAGTCGGGGATTTTAAAGTTAGGTGAATTCCGCATTATTATATCTGCTTGCTAGGGATGTTCGACCACTTCCACGAACAACAGAGCAGATGCTTCACTCAGCAAGACGTATTATTCATTCGACGATGAGCAAATTAACAAAACCTAGGAAGAACGGGAGCATGAAAAACTGCCCAACTTTTGACTTACCACACAATTTAGATACAGTGGCAAATACCACTAAAAAATGGGAGCCGTCCAATAGGTTGCTACCAATGAGGTTTATCACCAAGCCCGCAGACAAAAGATTCAATCCACTCTAACGCTAGCAATCAGTCCCAGGTTGTGAATCCATCACCAAAAACCGTAAGCAGTAGTTAAAACTCTTGTAAGTGAAAGGCATTTTTGATAATTTTTCGGGATGGAGAGAAAAGTGAATTGATAGTTTTGGACTTCCCCGTTACTATATCGCCAAATGAACAGGTGCAAACAGAAGCCCACAGATGGATTATGCGCGCAGATCAAAGTTTGAACAACTAGAGCGGCCGCTCAAACTTTCACAAGACGAACCGCACCCGGATACAGCAAATTCGAGTCAAAACACTACAAAGCCGTGGGATCAAAGGGGAGAGAGAAGGTACGACGGCGCAGAGCGTCTCAAGGAGTTACCAGAGGGACTTTATTGGAAGAGATTAAGGGAAAATACAACTTAGCCATTTCTACGGCTCTATGGCAAAATACTTGCACTGAAACATAGCAATGGCACTATTGAAACGGCAAGGGCACAAGGTAAATGGCCAGAACCTCAAGTGGAGCTGCGGTTGAGGGATCACACACCGGACGCCCATGTAGGGTACGAAGCCAGAAGAGGTCTCAGTTGAATCAAATTTAGTGCTGCGCTGAAACCGTTGGCGTCAATGAAAAACCCGAGGGAGTGAAACCTGTGTGGAAACGTAAAATGTGCTCTCACAAACCACCAACGTACCAGCCATGGAAGCGCATAAGTACGTACCAGCTACGGTTACCTGTGTGCCGACGAGATATTGGCAGTATGCACCAGGTTCTTCAAGTTTCATTTAAGATGAAACTTGGGCACTATCCCAGTATAGCACCGTGCAGAGCTACCCAGGAGCCTCCCACACCTTTAGGGTCATGACTGAAACACGACTGTACTCTACTAACCCTGAAGTTAATAACACTTTTGAGGTAACACCGTCAGGTGTGTAGGTATTAGAAAATGGGATAGATTTATTTAGGTTACGGCATATCGATCGATAGGTAAACCGTCGATTTGAATTAAGAATTCGTCAAGAACTCACGAGCCCACCGCAAGCAGCACCATCCAAATCAAAGAAGGCTCGCACTTCTTAGGAAGGTCAACACTGACCTTAAATTTAAATGCAGTTGACAAACACTGTATAGGATAAGAAGTTATCAGAGCAGTGAACACAAGTATGCGACCAGAACACGCGATCACCTCTCTCCAGTCTGTAGGATTGAATACCACGGATTCAGCCAAAAAATAGACGTACTGGGTCAATGTGGACAAAGAAAGAGCAGACTAATTTATTTCATTCCCATGTTCCAGCATACGAGGACAGTGGAATCCCAAGCTATCGGATTGCGTGCAGTACAAGTGGTCGCATCCCGAACTACAAATCTGCATATTCAACGAACAAAGCGACTGAACTGGTGTGTACAACTTACAATAAGAAACAACGAGGCTGAAAATGAAACAGAACAGAATAATGTGGACTATGCGGGAAAATCTTGCAAATCAGACAACATAGCCCAAAACAAAATCCGCGATTTGAGAATGGTCCACTTAGTAAGAAGAATGGAAGGTCAAAAAAATGAAACAGAACAGAATAATGTGGACTACGCAGGAAAATTTTGCAAATCAGACAACAAAGCCCAAAACGAAAACCGCGATTTGAGAATGGAAGGTCGAAACACAAGAGGGCAAACTACGACGCAAAGCAATTCACTGACTGACCAAACAGATCAGAACCAGCCAGAACAAAAAGGACTGTACATAAAGAACCAATCGAACGCGAGCTACAGACCACAATGCAACATACGGAGCGAACGGACCAATCAGGCACTGAGCAGGATGAATCGTTAGCAGCGGTCATCTTGGATTTTAAAGATGCTCTTCACAGATTGAATGAGCACAAGAGTGAAGTAAAAAACTGCCTTCCAACGGCGTATTAGTGACGTTTGTCCCATTCCATCGTCAAGCGCGGTGAACACCCACCTAACCAACCGCTGGTAATAGCTTTTTATAGGGATACTCTTCGTATGAGGGGGGTAACAATTCTCCGTTGACCACCTAATTAGTAGTATGTATCGTCAAGTAAACACAGTGATGTCTGAAATGTCACGCCAAAAATCACGGGGTGATCTTTGTACAACGCATTCGGTTGAGGAATATCATAGGTAAGCGGTTTAGCTGGGATCTAGCTGAGTTTCTCATTGAAAACGAATTAATTTGCAAATGAGAATATTCCGTGCAGAAATAATCTACCCTTACTGACTTGTAAATCCTCTGTTTGGGCGGAATTTTTTGCTGGAAGTTTATCGTACTTTTGCAATATCACATCGGAAATACACTTCTCGTTGGTGTAATACTCTTGTCAGAAATAAATTTTTTCATGCAGTTTAATATTCCTTGAAATTTACGCTTACCACTCTGGTTTGAACGGTCCTCATCCATTGACTAGGTTATTATGGAGAGTGCACACCAAAATGTAAGTAAGCGCTGGGATGAATTTTCACATTTATTGCAGCTTACCAGAGGTGGGTGGCCTTGACCTCGCCGGGACATGAAATTGCAGTGCATGAATTTGCTTGAAATGAGTTTGGATTGTTTGTTTAAGCAGAAGAAAGTCCCGTTCGTCGGCGCTCTTCTCTTCTCCTGGCACGCTATTCGCCCGCATACGCTCTCACACTCACACTCGTTTAGTAGTACATTCTCCACCACGGTCTTGCATCATTATTCGGTTGCTGAAGTACTGGGCCATATAGCGAATACACCTTCGATTAAATTTGCCGTCGGTTGTAAGGTCGAAATGTCGAGTGCAAGGTTACTTAGAGGTTCAAAATGAATTCATCCCTCAACCAATCCCATGGAACCTTAATAGATTCATAGGTTCAATTAACATCAGTAATAATACTAAGCCCAACCAAGGTCACCTCACAAAATGGAACTTAACTAATAAGTTACCAGCACGCAATTTCGTTTTGATAAATTGTGCACACCCCTATTACATTGTTCGGCAACTTCTGGAAACCTCCAGATTTTTTTCCGTTTGATTTAGAGCTTTCACGTTCAGCGCACTGCTGATAGACTGGACAAAACGCCCATTGAAGCCGGTGACCAGCAACATTGAACATCCTAGCGATTCCACGTGGTTGTCACAACACATTCTCGTTCTTGGCAGTACGTTTGTTTTTTTACCAACAAAGCTCGTTCACCTGCGACAGAATTATGCGTTTCGTATCTATTATAGTATGATTCGTAATGACGGTCACCTGACAGGTTATGAGCTGATCGATTGGGTGGTGTTCTGAAACATCTCCCTACAAGGCGGTGAATTCAGTAGGAACCTTTCGTTTTTGTTTGTAGAAATTACAAACTTTTGGACCGTAAAAGTAATGAGAGCCAGTCCAAATAAACTGCCACTGTTGATAAGGAAGCTTGGTGATCATCTCTTATCTTGCGAGCAGTTGTGTAGCGATGGGAAATTAACCATTTCGATTTGGACATGTTATCCAACCAAAATCATGAGAAGATAAACTACTTTATGATCAGATTAGTTAGCTCAACAATATTTTTTCATAGAATTTACAGTACTGCTAAGCGTCCCGCTGCAATAAATTTGTTGTGAATGACTCACAATCTGTCAGCCAAAGAGCTCATTCACTCTGACGTCAAAAAGATCGTTGTCAGCGCTCAGGAATCTCACCACCAGATGCTATGTAGCAAACCAAAATGAATCTATACCGAAAACAAATCAAACCGGGTGCCTCAGCAACAGACCAGCCGGTCGGATGGATGTGGTCACAACAACGTAACAGGTAAAATTGACGAGGTTATCGATGGTGAATGAAGTTAACATGATGGTCCGTTAGCTCATCACTCAAATGAAAGTAAGTCCGGGAATGTGACACTATGGATGATTTGAAGGGACCGTAGTTAGGCTAGCACCAAAAGGAAAAACTCCAGGGGCCTAGCACCAAGCACAGTTGCCAATCTGACATGAATATATCAATTATCATGGCGCCAATGAACAAGTTTTCAAGCAATAAAGCTCCTCAACGGTTGTCGTCTCAGGTGAGTCAATATATCTGCGGATACCCATGGGGGTTCCGAAACTTTCCTCTGTAAAAATGAGGGTTGGGTTGGCATAGAGAACTTCCTAAAAACGGACACCAAACTGGACAAATCTCACAAACACCTACAGGCAGTTCTTTCTGCCACAGTGTTGACGACATTCACACCGATAAAAAACATTTCACTTGAGGACACAATCATTGACAGAGCTTCGAGTGCCAACCATTCAGCACGCGAAGCCACATCAGCAAAAGTTCATTTCCCCACTAGAGAGAAGACAGCACGGTAAGTGCTACGATGAAAAGCAAAAGACAGCTAGCAAAAGATAGTACCCTACTAGATATCATTGAGTAGTTTGATGACATCAAAATTTTCCACCACTAACAGCTAATTTGATGGGGTTACCTTTTTCCCCAGTAGGCCAAACCTCCCAGAAAGTTTGATTCTATCCATTTTTTGTAGCATTTCTAAAGTTTCCAGATCAGAAATTCAGTTTTACCTAACAATCGTCAAGATCTACAATCTGGTCAAGACATATTTTCCAATTATCCTCTGTAGTGAAGATATGAAACCAAACGTGAATTGATCACATTTCCTCAACAAACTTGTAGAGGGGTCCAGTTGGGTAAATTTTGAAGGGCATCACTGTTCATAAGAGGAAGGGACCTATCAGGTAAGGAGCTAAATCACCAGCAAAATATTCGTCGCCCGCGAAACGTCTGAGGAAATCTTGATATGGAATGCCCTACGTCCTAGCTCCGGAAAGATGCCCACGTGGAGGATTGTCCCAATGCCGACTTGAATTTAGATTCCCAAGCCATAGAGATTCTAAATAAAACTAATAAACAAGCGCCTGTTATGAAAAACTTGCCTTTGAATACGTGGACGGGTAGATTGCGTCACTAAACAAGACGCTTTCCTAATTTATAACAAGGGACAGGTTAGCTCCCGTGCTTGTTCCAGAGACATGCTTAAGAATTCAGACCGATGTTGACTGGTGAGTGTGCACGAAGTTTAGATTTCAAACCGCTTACTGCTTTTCACTTGCAAGCAAAACTAAAGATGCCACTTCCAGAGTGAACTGTCTAGAGACTAAGATATATTTTGAAGCTTACACGATTAAACAAGGACTGTGTTTAGCGAATATACACTCATTTGCAAACTAATTTGGTTCTTTCGAGAGACTCACCTGGAACCTAGCTGAATCTCTCGTTTATGATGCTCTCAGGCAACTGAATATGCTGCACCAGGCCGCCTCATGTTTCAGTCGCTACGATATTTGAAATATCGCGATACATGTATATCTTTGTAATGTACTACTCATAAGGTTGCTGAAAATCCATCGACAGCCCACGACCGGTTTCGCCCTTCATGGGGCTCAGCAGGTAGGCGTAGTCCCCAGGCTTCCGCCAACCTTAT